ACACATATACATATATATTTATACATACACATATATATATATATATACACACACACACACATACATATATATATATATATATATATTTATACATACATATATATATACACACACATACATATATATATGATAAATATATATATTCATGATTAACATATATACAACATATATAACATATATATATATACATACGTATGTTAATCATGAATGTAGTACTCCTTACTACTTTGTGCATGTGCATATTGTCTTTCCAAATTTGTGTATTCTGCTTTTTTGATTATTTCATATGTATTTTTTCTGTATAATTAGAACATGCTACTCCATCCATCCATCCATCCATCCATCCATCCATCCATCCATCCACCCACCCATCCATTTTATGATGAAAAAACTATGATTTAGTGAATTAAATTTTCATTCAATTTAAATATTTTTTCTAATTCAAATGTATGTTACGTGTAAAAGTTTTTTTTGTTTTTTTTGTTTATCTGTAAAACTGATAAAGATAAAGTGTTCATATTAAAACATATCATTGCCTGACATGACTTGGATCTGACTATGGAGGCTACGGTGCCCCCCTGTGGTTAACTCACACATGCCATCTCTCTGGGGTTAAAGATGCGATTCAGCACGAACATCTTGACCGGGACGGTGAGGATGAGGACGAAGGGGAAAGCCAGGGACGCCTGCGTGGACATCACCGCCCACAGGACGGCTAAACACCCCACCTGGATGCAGGTGAAGAGGTGCATGCGCCACGTCCGAACCTGGAGGACATGGGGACAACTCTTAGCAGGAATAAGACAAATATGAAATCATGGCACGCTTAACTCTTTTCTAAATGTTGCTGCATAAGACACATCTGGCTCCTCTTACTTTGCGGACGTAGGTGTGGTCTGGGTGGTACTTGGGCGGCATGAGGAGCAGCATCATCCGCTCTGTGAGCTGGATCCCACTGAGTGACATTACACCCATGTAGAGGAAGATCCCAAACAGAACAGCCAGTGGGATCTGACGCAGCAGGTCTCCGATCACGATCGACATGCCTGGACAGAGTAAACACGAGGAAAAAGACTTTTATGGAAAACTAAAACGAAGAATAATCAAACAAGAGACGATGTTCTGGCGCCTGATACTCACCGACCATGACAGCGACCAGGAGCCCGGTGACCCTCTGCTCCTTCACCTCCTGGATGCGCGGCTTGTCTCCGGGGGCGACGGCTTTGCTCATCACAGTGAGGGCATTGACGTGAGTGACTGAGCGCACGGTGGCGGCGGCCATCCATGGCAGACCGAACAGAGCCGAGCAGCCGCCCAGGACCACGATCAGAAGAAGGTCCAGGTGAAAACCAGAACCCTTCACCAACATCCGCTCCTTCTTACTGACGATGAGGCTGCAGGGACCAAACACAAGAACAAAAACAGAAATGCTGGCATCTTTATTTTATAAACAGATTTGAAACAGTTTTATTTGATGTTTTGCACATTTTAAAGTCAACTTTGCATTAAAACAGATTTTTTTTTTTTTAAATCAGTGCCACTCGTGCATCGTAGCTCACGTGGTGATTTGAGTCTCCATGAAGATGAGGATGAAAACCAGCAGCGCGGGCAAACAGCAGGCAAACATCATCCAGATGGGGAATCCACCGTCTGAGCCCAGAGGACTGATGATCCAGCCTCGCTTGTCGGTTCTCGTCACAGAGAACCCTTTGGGGACGCTCAGTTTCTGGATGGAGACAAGATGGTGCTCAGATTGAATCGCACACACTGAGAAATGAAAGTTACTTATGTAACTACGGTTCTATGAATCCCGGATGACCGCCAGAGGGCGGTGCTGAAAGCACTGAATGTTCCCTTCACGCATGCGCTGTTCGAGTAATAATACCAACGGAGTCACAGGTGTGACACGGATGACCAATTAGAGGCTATATAGCCTGACGTTATCCGCAGCTCTGCTCCTACAGAATCTTCTCGCGGAATGCAAGAATTCTGAGTGACAGAGAAGCTCTGGCGGTCATCTGGGATTCATAGAACCGTAGTTACATACGTAACTTTCATTCTATTTCATCCCTCCTGACCGCCAGAGGGCAGTGCTGAAAGCACTGAATGACTAATACCAACGATGTCACAAGGAATCCTGAGCACACACCTCAATGAGGAGGCCCAGAGGACCCTTGCAGAAGACTCTGGCCCAGGGGATGAGGGGTGGCCACGTTCACTCTGTAAAATCTGGTGACGTGCTTGGGGAAGTCCATAATGCGGCAACACATATTGCTTCCATCGGAACCCCTCTCAGGGCAGCCCAGGAAGCGAACACGCTCCTGGTACAGTGAGCCTTCACGTCGACCGGCAGGGGGTCGTGCCCTGTGGCGTAGACGTAGCAGATGACATCCATGATGCAGTGGGAGAGGTGCTGTTTAGAAAGAGGATAGCCTAATCTAGGGCCTCTGTAACACAGACAGCTGGTCTGAACATCATATAACGGCAGGAACTGCAACGTATGTCTCCGGTGCTCTCACTAGGCACAATAATCCAGACCCCTCGCCAGGTGTAGGCTGAAAATGTGGCAGCCTCAACAGCTGGTTACAGTGAGAGTGAGATAACACCTTTGGTACAAATACAATGTTTGGCCACAAGGTAACATCACAGCCCTCAGGGCACCACCCGAGACATGAGAGAGAGCATGTAGCTCGCAGACCCTCTTGCTGAGGCCATAGCCCACAAAAAGGTAATCTACACGAAAACTACTTGAGGTCCGCCTGCACCAGAGATTTGAACGGAGGGCGGCTAAGAGCTTTGAGAACCAAGGGCAGATCCCAACCTGGTGCTCGTGGAGCTGTCGGAGGGTGCAACATATGGGCACCACGCAGAAAAGAGAGACTAGATCATGGCTCCCCACCATACGATCATTGATGCCGGCATGATTAAATGAAATTGCCACTACATAAACTGTAAGCGTCGAAGGAGAGCGACCCTTACCAAGGAGAGACTGGAGGAACTCCAGAATGGTGGGTACTGTACAGGAGAATGGATCCTCATTTTGGTCAGAACACCATTGGGAAAACAGACGCCACCTGTTTTCGTACTGCTGACAAGTAGAGGGTGCCCCAACGCCCAGGATGGTGTGTCTGACGGGGCTCAAAACTCAAGTCAGCTGCTGTCCTAGCTTTGCAGTGGCCACATCCACAGCCGAAGATGTTGAGGATTGGGGTGCCTTATCAGTCCCCCCAACTGAAAAAGCAAGTCCCTCCTGGTCGGAAGATACCATGGGACGCCTTGACATAGGCCCCATAGCAGTGGGAACCATGGTCATGCTGGCCAATACGGAGCCACCAGCAGCATCCTGTGGCCCTCCCCGAGGACTCCGTGAAGGGTCGACCGAATTAGAGGAAGGAGTGGAAAGGTATATAGGAGGACCCTTGGCCAAGGATGGGCCAATGCGTCCTGGCCCAGCGCACCAGACGCCCCGGTAGGGGAGTATCATAGGGGACACTGAGTTGACTCCTCTGTCGCAAACAGGTCTACCTCTGCCTGACCAAAACGTTCCCAGATCATCAGCACTATGTCGCTGTGGAGGGACCGCTCTCCCAGAGCAGACCCCTGGCGGGAGAGAAAGTCTGCGGCCTGACTGTGTCGCCCTGGTAAGTATGCCGCCCGCAGGGTGGACAGGTGAGGAGAGGCCCATTCCAAGGGCTCTCTGGACATACTCAGAAGTTGTGCTGACCTGGTGCCCCCCTGGTGGTTGATGTGGTAGGCAACAGAGGTGTTGTCTGACCGAATGAGAACATGCCCCGCTTCCAGGTGGGGCAAGAAGTACCTGAGTGCCAAATGCAGTGCACGCAGCTCCAGCACCTTATATGGTTGGAGCGGTCCTTTGACCCCAGTGGCCCTGAACCGCTCTGCGTTGTCACAAAGCACCCCATCCTAAGGAGCTGGCATCTGTCGTGACCGCTTCCCTGAGATACACTACCACTCCCATGGGGACACCCCTGGACAACTAATCTTTGTCCCTCCATGGAATCAGGGCATGAAGACGTGACCATGTCACTGTGAGCTTGTGATACCTGTGCAGCCTGGCATCCAGGCAAAGCTGTTGAGCCGCCTTTGCAAGGGGCGAAGTGAAAGCGGATCTAAGGGCACCACCCGAGTGACTGACGTCAGTTGCCTTGTAGCTGATGGAAGGCAACGTAGGGGAGCTGCCTGCCAAGCCTGAACCGACTGACCAACTGGAGTATGTCACCCATCCTTTGAGCAGATGGGCGAGCTCTCATGGAGGGTGAATCCAGAGCCACACAAGAAAGGTGATCGTCTGGGAAGGGATCAGGCAGCTTTTCTCCAGGTTGACATTAAAGCCCAACTGGAACACATGAGCAAGCAGGCGATTTGTGTCGTGAAAGGCACAGGCCCGAGACAGGGCACAGAGAAGCCAATCAATTAGTACAGCAGAACCTACACTCCGTAGGCCTGCAGAGGCAAGAGGGCTGCCTTCACGCACCGAGTGAACAACCTCGGTGAAAAAGAGAGAGCCCAAATGGGAGTACCCGGAACTGCCAGTTATGACCCCAATAGGCAAACCTGAGAAATCGGCGATGTCCTGTCGCAATAGGCACATGAGAATAAGCATCTTTCAGGTCAATAGACGTGAACCATTCTCCTCTCGTGACAGCTTGAAGGACCTCTGCTGTCATGAGCATGTGGGAGGGCAGCACCCTTCGGTACTGGTTGAGTCCCCTCAGAACTAAAATGGGACGAAAACCGCAGTCCTCTTTGCATGAGGAAGTAAGTCGAGTAATAGCCTCTGGGTTGTTACAGAGGGTCCACTGCCTCAATTGCACCCTTGGCCAGAAGGGCAAAAAACTCTTGGTCTAGTGCTCGAGCCTTCACTGGGTTGGTGATTATAGTCACCTTGACACGGGTATTGGTGGGAGAAGTATCCAGCGGTCGGCCCGGTGGCATCAGAGTCTCCCTCCACGGCTCCTGGGAGTTGTGGGGTGGGGCGGCCAGAGTCCCCGGTCCAAACCTGCACAGCTGGTTGGTGGACTGACTCACGAAAGCTCCTGTCGGGTCTCTGCTGAACCGCACGAGGGTAACAAACCACTCGGCCGATCGTGACCCCGAGGCGGCGGCCGAATGCTGGGATCAGCTGACGGGCGCCTTGGATGTGGAGGGGGCATCGCCCTGCTAAGGCCTGAAAACTGCTGTCTTGTCTGTTGTACCTGGACAGGCACCAAACAGCACTGCGCTGAACTTCCCCTGGTGACATGATGAGTGATGCAACAGCAGGTTCCATCACCGGCATGCGTTCCAAGCCCGCTGCAGCTGGCTTATGCATAGCCGCCAACACTCCACCATCTGTGGAGAGGTGTGCAAAGACCTTTGGGTCCTGCCAGCAACCATGCAACTCTCTCAGGTACTCCTCCGATGGAGGGACAGAAAAGGACGGAGGGGCCCGTCTGCACCTGAAGAGGGCACTTCCAGGGATGGACTCCTCTGGTTGCGGGACATCCAGCTGCAATTGTCTCAGGGCCATACACATGACGTCTGGCATTGAGCCGTCACCTGACCCACTAGCTACGCTCTGAGACGAAGAAAATGAACCAGTCTCTGAGACTTGAGATGACTATTCCTCCTCACCTAAAAGGTGAGAGGCAGAGAGTCTGGTCGCTGCCACTGGTTCAGTTCCCAGTTGGCGTACCTGAAAAAGGGACTTTTATCTCCGCTAATTCAGCGGAAAGCTGCTCCACCCTCGTGGAGAGGCCCATATCAGACCTGACTCGCCTCTTCCCAGGAGGGGCCTCAGAAACTGCAGCCTCAGTCCGGTGCTTCGAGCGCCTAGGTGGAGCCTCCTGCCCAGAAGGCAGGAGGTCATTGCAGAGTTCGGGGCGAAACTGGGCCAGCCGGGCCACCCTCACAGCACGTGACATGAAGCTGCAATTCATGCAGGGGTTCTCTGACAGGGCCTCCACCAGATGGTCATGTCCAAGGCAGGCAGAACACAGGTCGTAACCGTCATCTGTCTGGAGCATGCCTCCACAAACTGTACAGCAGTGAGAGCTGTCCATGCTCCTTACTTTAGGCAGTTTACTTAAAGACAATCAAGGTAGGTAAAAATCTGCTACCGGCAAAGGGGCTGGCACGGCCAGCTATGTCCAAGATACAGGACGAAAAATTACGGCAAAGAAACTCGGAAAGGTTAACACCGCTAGCTCAGCTGGTAAAGAGAACAATTGGGAGAGGGGCACGAATGCTTTCCTTCACCAGTTAAAACAAGGCCAAAACTTAGTGAGGCTAGCACCGCTAGCTCAGCTGGGAAAAGAGGACAATTGGGAGAGGGGGCGCAAACGCTTTCCTTCACCAATTAAAACAAGGCCAGAACTCAGTAAGGCTAGCACCGCTAGCTCTGCTGGTAAACGAGAACAATTGGGAGAGGGGCGTTAACGCTTTCCTTCACCAATTAAAACAATGCCAAAACTCAGTGAGGCTAGCACCACTAGCTCAGCTGGTAAAAGAGAACAATTGGGAGAGGGGGCGCAAATGCTTTCCTTCACCAATTAAAACAAGGCCAGAACTCAGTGAGGCTAGCACCGCTAGCCCAATCCAACCGTTTACCAGGTTGGTGCAAGTGATTGGGAGAGGGGGCGTGAACGCTTGCCTTCACCAATTAAAACAAGGCCAGAACTCAGAGAGACCAGCATCTCTAGCTTAGTCCAACCATTCATGAGGTTGGGAAAAATAATTGGGAAAGGGTGCGTAACGCTAGCCTTTACCAATAGAAAACAAGGCCAGAATGTAGGGAGACTAGTACCACTAGCTCGGTCCAGCAGTTTATAAGGTTGGTAAAAATAATTGAGAGAGGGTGCGCAACGAATGCTAGCCTTCACCAATAGAAAACAAGGCCAAAACTCACAGAGGCTAGCACTGCTAGTTCAGTCCAACCGTTTATGAGGTTGGTGAAAAATGATTGATAAAGGGTGCGCGAACACTCGCCCCTACAAATTAAAAAACAAGACCAGAACACAGCTGGCTACGTAACTAACTTCGGAGCATAACCCAAACCGACCTCGCGATTGGGAACCTCCAGCAGAGCGGACGGTTCCGCTAACCAAGGCAAAATAGAAGTGAAAGACTACTCACCAGTGTTGAATCACACACACACAGTAGTCAGACACTGTAAGTTGGGAGAGGGGCGAAAGCCGGCGTAGTCCCCAACGAACAGAAGAAGTACCTTGAACGAAGGCTAAACCGTCGCGGCCCCTAGGAGGGCAAAAACGCTGCTCCGGCCAACGGGAAGTCGGGCCTCCGACGATGATGAAAAGGTCCAAGGGCTGGAGCCCTGGATGAACCGCGCGCAAGAAGAAAAAAGGAGCAGAGCTGCGGATGATGTCAGGCTATATAGCCTCTGATTGGTCATGCGTGTCACACCTGTGACTCCGTTGGTGTTATTACTCGAACAGCGCATGCGCGAAGGGAACATTGAGTGCTTTCAGCACCGCCCTCTGGCAGTCAGGAGGGATGAAATAGAACACAAAGTCCACAGAAACTCACTTGAGTGTACGTGTCCTTGATGCTGTAGTCCACCAGGACCATGATGAGGATCGCGATGGGGACTCCGAAGTCTCCAATCATCCTGCGGAACTAGACCACAGAACACGGGAGTGAACTAACAGTGTGAACGTTTATGAAGCATTCAAACTATTGTGATCCATTTGTCTTCCGTACAATTTTCAGCATTTTCTCTTTCCACAATTTTTGTACTACTTCAACAAATCATAAATCAAAACGTTCAGCTCTATCAGGACAATCCTGCTATGACTTTTGGTATTGGTGCAACTTTAGTTTTTTGAAATATTTAGCCTTTTCTGATATTTTTTTTCTCATAGAAAATGAATTGAGCTCATTTTACATCCTTCAAATCTTTAGATCTGTTTACAACCTTTTACTGCTCATTTCACATTTTGTTCTGCTTCAGCTTCTTTCAGCTTCCTTCTGCAAATTAAAACAATTAAATAAAATTCTCCTACTTTCAGCTCATTTCAGCTGTTTTTTCCTTTTAGATTACCAATATTTCTGCTAACTACAACATTTTTGTGCTTCTTCTAATGTATTTCTGCTAATTTCAGCTTGTTACACTCCTTTCAGCTTATATCTGCAAGTTTCAGCTACTACAGCATATAGGTGTTTTATGCAAATTTAAGCTTTTTCAGCAAATTCCACATTTTTGCATTCATTTCAACTTTTTTCAACTTAATTTAACAAAATTGGGCTCTCTCCACTTCCTTCTGGTAATTTATACTTCTTACTGGTTTTAAGCTACTTTTCAGCTGTTTCTTTTTTGTCTTTTTTGCTAATTTCAGCTTTTTTGTGCTAATTTTTGCTTCTTTCATCCTAATTGGGCAAACGTGTTCATTCTGCTTTCTTCTGCTAATTTAAGCTTGTTCTACTATTTCATCTACTTTTTTTTAGCATTAAATGAATTTCAGCTGTTTTCAGATAAATTAAAGTTTTTCATGGTAATTTCAGCTACTCTCAGCTTAATCATCTTCTTTCTCCTAATTTCAGCTTGTTATGCTCCTTTCAGCTTTTTTTGCTAGTTTCAGCTTTTTCTGCTGTTTCAGCTACTTTTTAGCTGTTTTTATGCTAAATTTAGCTTTTCCAGCTAATTCCACTTTTTTATTTAGCTAATTTCAGCTCCTTCCCCTTCTTTCTAGAAGTTTAAGCTTCTTTCTACCTTTTCAGCTACTTTTCAGTTTTTTTATTTAGCTAATTTCAGCCTTTTTTTTAGCTGATTTCTGTGCTTATTTCTGCTAATTTAAACCTAACTCAGCAAATATGTGTTTGTTCTGCTTTCTTTTGCTAATTTAGGCTGGCTCTTCCATTTCAGCTACATTTCAGCATGTTTTAGTTAGTTTCAACTGTTTTTCAGCAAGTTCTTCAGGATTAAGCATTCACACTGCATTTTTGCAGGAAATGTGATTTTTCGTTTGAAGGTAATTTAGTAGATCAGATCAGATCAGAATGAAAATATGAAAAACGTTCTCAAACTTTCTTTTTGACTGGAGAAACTGAGACTGAATGGTCTTACCCTGCCGGGGAAAAAGGCGCTGTTCTTGAACTTTCGCAGGTAGAAAGCGATGAGGAACGTTCCCGCCATGAGAACTAGAGAGAGCAGCGCGGTGTTGGGCTGTCCGCTCACCATGACGCTCTGCGTGCTGTTTGGAAACGTGGCGTTGGTCTGAACCAGGGTGGCGTTTTCTGCCAATACGTCTGCGTCTGTGCTGTTGTCGAGCGAGCAGCGTTTCAGCGGGTGCTCCTTGAAAGTCTGCACACAAGCGTTTCAGGTTCAGACAGAACTCTGCCTCATAAAACACAAAGAGCTTGCACTCGTTTCAAAGCCCGAACTCGTTCCTTCAGGCGTACCCTGCCGAGTTTGATGAAGGTCTCGCAGATGAAAATGAGGGAGATGAGCAGGGAGAAGATTTCTTGGGTAAATCGGGAGACAAATCGCACCAGGAAGCTGCCTTCAAAAGCCACCATGATGACGACGATGATGATGAGCCAGAAGCCGATCCAGACGCGGCCCGTTAGGTACTCGATGTGATTCGCTTTGCAGAACTGTTGAAACACAAAACAGGAGCGAAAAGCAAAACTTTAAACAGATTTTATTCAGCAAATACAGGTCCTTCTCAAAAAATTAGCATATTGTGATAAAGGTCATTATTTTCCATAATGTAATGATAAAAATGAAACTTTCATATATTTCAGATTCATTGCACACCAACTGAAATATTTCAGGTCTTTAATTGTTTTAATACTGATGATTATGGCATACAGCTCATGAAAACCCAAAATGCCTGTCCCAAAAAATTAGCATATCATGAAAAGGTTCTCTAAACAAGCTATTAACCTAACCATCTGAATCAACGACGTAACTCTAAACACCTGCAAAAGATTCCTGAGGCTTTTAAAAACTCCCAGCCTTGTTCATTACTCAAAACCACAATCATGGGTAAGACTGCCGACCTGACTGCTGTCCAGAAGGCCATCATTGACACCCTCAAGCAAGAGGGTAAGACACAGAAAGAAATTGTTGAACGAATAGGCTGTTCCCAGAGTGCTGTATCAAGGCACCTCAGTGGGAAGTCTGTGGGAAGGGAAAAGTGTGGCAGAAAACGCTGCACAACGAGAAGAGGTGACCGGACCCTGAGGAGGATTGTGGAGAAGGGCCGATTCCAGACCTTGGGGGACCTGCGGAAGCAGTGGACTGAGTCTGGAGTAGAAACATCCAGAGCCACCGTGCACAGGCGTGTGCAGGAAATGGGCTACAGGTGCCGCATTCCCCAGGTCAAGCCACTTTTGAACCAGAAACAGCAGCAGAAGCGCCTGACCTGGGCTACAGAGAAGCAGCACTGGACTGTTGCTCAGTGGTCCAAAGTACTTTTTTCGGATGAAAGCAAATTTTGCATGTCATTCGGAAATCAAGGTGCCAGAGTCTGGAGGAAGACTGGGGAGAAGGAGAAGGAAATGCCAAAATGCCAGAAGTCCAGTGTGAAGCACCCACAGTCAGTGATGATCTGGGGTGCCATGTCAGCTGCTGGTGTTGGTCCACTGTGTTTTATCAAGGGCAGGGTCAATGCAGCTAGCTATCAGGAGATTTTGGAGCACTTCATGCTTCCATCTGCTGAAAAGCTTTATGGAGATGAAGATTTCATTTTTCAGCACGACCTGGTACCTGCTCACAGTGCCAAAACCACTGGTAAATGGTTTACTGACCATGGTATTACTGTGCTCAATTGGCCTGCCAACTCTCCTGACCTGAACCCCATAGAGAACCTGTGGGATATTGTGACGAGAAAGTTGAGAGACGCAAGACCCAACACTCTGGATGAGCTTAAGGCCGCTATCGAAGCATCCTGGGCCTCCATAACACCTCAGCAGTGCCACAGGCTGATTGCCTCCATGCCACGCCGCACTGAAGCAGTCATTCATGCAAAAGGATTCCCGGCCAAGTATTGAGTGCATAACTGAACATGATTATTTGAAGGTTGCCGTTTTTTGTTTTAAAAACACTTGTCTTTCATTGGTGGGATGAAATATGCTAATTTTTTGAGACAGGCATTTTGGGTTTTCATGAGCTGTATGCCATAATCATCAGTATTAAAACAATTAAAGACCTGAAATATTTCAGTTGGTGTGCAATGAATCTGAAATATATGAAAGTTTCATTTTTATCATTACATTATGGAAAATAATGACCTTTATCACAATATGCTAATTTTTTGAGAAGGACCTGTAGATGTGAAATTTTTTTTAATGTGTTTTCAGGTTTTATGACAAAATAATAATAAAATTAAAAAAATCAAGAATTTTAGGAAGAAAAATATGTATTTACATGAAATTACTATTTTTTATTTACAGACACCATGATGGGAAACTTACGCTGAAAAACGCTTCTTCAAAGACCAGCATGGGTCCAGAGAAGCCCACAATCAGCAGCGGCTGAGCTCCAAGAAGACAGAAGATGATGCCCTGCACCGACGTCGACACGATCAGCTCCGAGACGCCAATCAGGCCGTCAGTCTTCTCGCCTGTTTACACATGGCTCATTAACGCTCCAACCAATGGCTCATTAACACATTCATCAATCATCATTAACGAGATTAAATTAGAAAACTTTCCACCCAGCCTCACCGAGCAAACCTCCGAATGTGATGGCTGGAGAGAGCGCAGCGAAGTAGATGAAGATAACTGCAGCCATGCACTGACTGCTCAGTGCATCCTTGAAGTCACTGGCGTATTTTGGGTACCGGCGCTTAACGTCTTTTATCAGCCCGTCAAAAAGGAGCCCGCTGCGCTTTAAAGGGTCGTCTGACTCTTCTGAAGGCGTGAGGAGAGCCTCTGGACGACAGAAAGACACATCTGGTTATCAGAAAATCCATACAACACATTAAATGTTATAATTGTGTGAATGTTTATGAAGCATTCACTCTATTGTGATCCATTTTTCTTCCAGACTTTTTTCGGCGCTGTCCCGCAATTTTTAAACTGTTTCAACAAATCATAAATCAAAATGTTCAGCTCGTTCAGGACAATCTAGCTATGAGTTTTGGTATTGGTGCAACTTTAGCTTTATGAAATATTTAGCCTTTTCTGTCATTTTTTTTCCCATTGAAAATGAATTGAGCTCATTTTTCATCCTTCATATCTTTAGATCTGTTTACAACCTTTTACTGCTCCTTTCACTTTTTGTTCTGGTTCAGCTTCTTTCAGCTTCCTTGTGCAAATTTAAACTTTTTTTTAGCTACTTTCAGCTCATTCCAGCTTTTTTGTTCAGCTGTTTTGTGCTCCTTTCAGATTATTTCAGCTAACTACTACATTTTTGTGCTTCTTCTAACCGTTTTCTGCTGATTTCAGCTCGTTATGCTCCTTTCAGCTTATTTCTGCAAGTTTCAGATTTTTCTGCCATTTAAGCTAGTATTTAGCTGTTTTATGCTAATTTTATTTTTTTCAGTTATTCCATATTTTTTGCACTCATTTCAACATTTTTCAAACAAATTCAGCAAAAACGTGCTCTCTCCACTTCCGTGTGGTAATTTAAGCTTCTTTCTGCTTTTTTTTAGCTACTTTTGTTTGCCTGTTGTTACTTTCAGTTTTTTTCAGATAATTTCTACTTTCTTGTTCTCATTTCTGCTTCTTTCAGCCAAACTTGGCAAACATGTCCTTTCTGCTTTTATCTGCTAATTTAAGCTTGTTATACTATTTCAGCTTAGGGCATTAACAGAGTACTCGAGTAATCTACACATCGAGCGCTAGGACATCTATTGATGTTAAAAATGTAACGTCGGGTATCCGTAGTGACGTCATATTATGTGACCACCGTATGACCGTAGGGGGCGGTGTTGCACTGTGGCAGGTCACAGAGTATGGTGTAACACCGGGTCCTATCCACTGAACCAGAACCAGCTTCGGTTTAAGTTTTGTTTTCGACGTGCTGCATGTTTCTTCACGTTTGCAGTTTAATAATAATAACTAATAGTTTAGTTTTACCTGTGACTTATTTGCAGTATGATAAATGGTAGGAGCTTAATATACGCTCCCAATGTTTTGTTGGTCTTTTTTTTGTAAATAATTACCTTTTTTTGCGGTTTTATTTATTTATTTATTTATTTTTGTATCTTGAGATCTACGACGTCATCAAATACTCGAGATGTACTCGGGTTTTATTATGTTAATGTCGAGTTTAAAAATTATATACTCGTTCAACCCCTATTTCAGCTACTTTTTTTTTTTAGCAAATGTTAGCAGATTTTAGATAAAGTCAAGTTTTTTTGTGGTAATTTCTGCTACTTTCAGCTTAATTAACTTTTTCTGCTAATTTCAGTTTATTATGCTCATTTCTGCTTTGTCCGCTAGTTTCTGCAATTCCAGCTACTAGTTAACAGTTTTTATGCTCATTTTAGCTTTTGCAACTAACTCCAGCTTTTTTAAAACTCATTTCAGCTCTTTATGTTTCTTTCTGGTAGCTTCTTTCTGACTTTTCAGCTACTTTAGCTATTTTCTGCTTTTTTAGTTAATTTGCTAATGTTTGTGCTCATTTCTGCTTATTTAAACCCAATTCAGCAAATATGTGTTCTTTCTTCTGCTAATTTACACTTGTTCCTCAATTCAGCTACATTTCAGCATGTTTTTAAGGTAATTTCAGCAGGTTATTCTGCAATAAGCATTCACACTGCACTTTCGCAGGCAATGCAGTTTCTCTAGTTGAGAAGTTTACCTTTCTCTTCGTGGCTTTTTGGCTCTTTTGCCTGCAGCTTAACTTCTCGTTCTTCCCTCTTGCGCAGCATCTCCCTCTGAAAGCGAGCGACGGAGCGCAGCAGCTCGTCGTCTCCCATCTCTGAAGGCGGCAGCACGATGCTGCAGTCCAGGAAGCAGTTGATGGCGTTCAGGAGGTCGTGTCTGTCGTCTGCCAGGTAAGCTGCCTCGTGAAATTGCTGGATGGCAAAACGGAGATTTTCTCTTAATCACTAGATCTTTACAGCTTGAACAAACAACTACCGTATTTTCCTGCGGACACGTCGCACCGCCCTATAAGTCGTATCAGTCCATATTTGTCTAATAAAGTGGAAAAATCCATAAATATGTTGCTTCGCCATATATGTCACATCTATTATGCGTCACTACTGACGTGTCGCGTTTGTTACGCGTCACTGCAGAACCTGGAAACGTGGACCGGTGTTGTGCCAAAAACTGATTGGCTGCCAAATTGCAGCCGCGGTAGCGTGCATGGGAGGACTTTAACAAGAATTTAACAAGATTAACACTTAAAAACAATTATTTGTTTGCTCTAAATTTTAGTAAAGGTGTGTCTCAGTCTAACATTTGCTTAATAAATGTACTTTAATGGTCAAATCAGCTGCATTTCGCCGGGGCGGTGCAGCTGTTTTGACGGTTCCAAGCAGCGAGCAGAATGAAGGTGGGGGAGCCTGTGTCAGGCCGACTGAGTCATTAGAAGCTGGTGAAGATTCTCAGTCATCCAGGACATGGTAAATTTTAAAAAGTTCAAGAAAAAAACAATAAAGTATAGTATAATAAATAAAGTCCAGTTGTTTTTGTCTTGAACTTTTTTGAATTTGTCATTATAGCCACGTTTACCTATTACATGATACAACAGCCAACAGAGTGCCATACCACTATTAATACTCTGCTGCCATCAAGTGGTACTGCTCTTCTTTTTGTTTTCCAGTCAGAATGAATGAAAACGGTCATATCTCAGCCAAAAAATGGTTTATAAATATGGGAAAAAATCCATAAATATGTCACTTGGGCCTATAAGTTGCAGGGTATGTAAATTATACAAAAAACTGCAACTTATAGGCTGGAAAATACGGTAGTTTACCTTGTCAGACATGAGAGTAGAGATGGAGCGGCCAATCTGGTGGTAGTCCATGCTGCTGGTTGGAGGTCCCAGGAGAACAAAGAGGAACCTAACGGGGACGGGCACTTCCAGAACCGACTCCAGCTCCACTGCCTCCTGCAGCCTCACAAACGCCATCGTGGGCTGCTCCAAGAAGTCGACGCTGCCTGGAAGACGACACCAGATGGTCAAACGAACCAGTAAGTGGGAACACACAGAAAAGGTTTAAACGTAGCTCCAGTTTATGTTAACTCACCCACAAGGACTACAGTGGCCTCAGCGTTCTCTGGAATCTTCTCCAGAAGCTTCAGCTCATGCTTGGACTTGGACCGATGCATGCCCAACCCTAGAGCCGGCTCCTTCTACTCCCACCAAACACACAATGATGAAGACGACGGGCAAGAACAAACCGTTGTCACCAGATTTGACTCGGACGTACCTGCAGCTCGTTCTTGTCCATGTCGATGCGGGTGTCACTGTCTGCCGTGGAGTTGCCAACGCCCATGAGCGGGTCGGTCACCGAGGGCTCCAGCTGATGGTTGTGGTTTGTGTTGAGGTGGTGTGGGATCAGACTGCCGAGGCTGGCTGCTGAGATGTTCCTGGGAAAATGGTTTGTGTGGTCCTTCTCGTCGCTCGGGTGACTTTGGGAGGCAGGAAGAGGGAGAGAGAGGGTGAGCAGGAGGAGGAGAGGCTGCAACAAACCACAAAGCAGTCTACAAGCAGGAAGTGTGTAGCAGCGAGAGACGTTTTAACAACGTGAACTTTTATCACTTTTCATAAACGTAGCAAACGTGTGATCATCAGTCACCTGTGTTTGAGCAGCAGAGCCCTCAGGACGTTGGCTCGGTCCTCTGCTTTGATCTGGTCAGAAATAATCATTTGTTCCACCACCTGGTGAGCGATGCCAGGCAGGGTCTTCTGGTCCAAGTCCAGCAGCACCGCTCCTGGAAACACGCAGCCAGTTAGGAGCTGCATTACTTTTAGGCACGAAAAACCGTCAAGATAATACTTTACCGTGGGAGATTGTCCTTCTGAGCTCCAACAAACTGCGGAAAGACAGAGAAGCAACGTGAGGCTTCCCCCAGCGGTCCGTCTCCTCCTCCACATCTTCTTCAAACTTGATCCAACGAGCCGTCTCCTTCCACTGCATCTCCTGGTTCTTGTCCATCGTCAACTCGTTCAGCTCCACAAACACCTGGAGGTGCATCACAAAGCACAACGCAGGTTCATTCAGACATTACTGACCAAACTAAATTATTCATTCAGCTATGGGAAGGACTCAGACCTGACAGCGGTTCAGTCAAACTAAACTTAGAAGATAAACGATTAGTTCAGAGCTCTTAAAAGTGGGGTTCTGTGGAAGGTAATAAGTATCCTACCTGTTGTAGATCCTCTTTGAACAATCTCACTTTAAAGAAAAAGAGATTAGTTCTGACTGGACTGATGAGATGATGCCTACTTCAAGCTGAGAAAAGACCAAAACAAACTGCTGCTGTCTTGAATCAACTCTAATCTCAACTATTTCAGAGCAGTTCATGTAGGCGCTAATTTTTAAACTAACAGTTTAGTGTTGTGTTATGCTAGCAGCAATCCACTTTGGTCTTATTCCTCTTATTGCTTGGAATAACTTTTAGTCTGCTAATCTGGTCAGAATTAAACCCGATTCCTCTAAACTGAGAAGCTCAAGGTGCTATCTACTACACGTGAGATATTTATTGCTAAAGTTTTTCAATAGAACCCCACTTCAAAACAACTGAACTTCACTTTATTAGGAGGTTTCTGCTCAGAAAACCAACTTGCAGTAAAACAAAGCCATGCTTACGGAGAAAACAAGCGAGCCACAAAACAAAATGTTTTAAACACATTACTTACCTTAAAATAAAATTCTTTATTTAGTGTTTTTATTTGTCGTTAACAATGTAATTACTAGCTTTTATTACCATATAGTGCTGATGTAAACAAATTTAAGTGACTTCAAGCAGAGGTTTGTGTATATGATATGATAAAACAGACTTCTAACATTTATTGCCTTTGAGAAAGTCACGTTCTTTATACCAGTGGTTCCCAACTCTGGTCCTTGAGGAACACCATCCTGCATGATTTAATTGTTTTCCTGCTTTGAATGAACGGGTGATTAACAGGCTTCTGCAGAACTTGATGAAGTAATCAAATCACTGAATCAGGCGTGTTAGAGCAGGGAAACGACTAAAACATGTAGGACGGTGTTCCTCAAGGACCAGAGTTAGGAACCACTGCTTTATACGACCATGAAATAATGTTTAAAGAACAATTCAAATACCAAACGTTATTTAAAACAATGTTTAGCTCCTCTCAGCGTTCAGTGTTTGTTAAAAGGAAGTTATTTAACACCATGCTGGTCAGTCACAGTCCTGCGTGTAACCTCCCATCAAAATAAATCTGCGTCCTCGTGCCACGCTGCACCTGCTGCATGCCTGCGAAATCACGCTCACACAGGTCAAACCTGACCCTGGACGGGGGGGCCGCCCTGTCTCACCTTCTGGTACAGAGCCATTTGACCGGAGTTCAGGAGGAAGCCCTCTGGCCGAGAGGAAGAGCGGTACAGAACCACCGGTACTGACTGCAGGAGCGAGACGGAGCAGGTGAGCGCTCAAACACCACCACCCTTCATGTGTTACCAGTTACTGTCCCTCACACACCTGACAGGACTTTGTTTACCTGGGCTGCTGGGGGCTCAGAGCTGGGTATGAGAATAAGTGTGTGTGTTAATAAAACATGGCCCCCCTCGTCTTTCTTTTTCTTTCTTTCTCAGGAGCTCCCAGTGTCTGGTTACCTGAGAGCCTCTCTCCTCTCTTTTTCCTTTTCTCAACGCGTGAAAGCAAAGAACTCATTCATTCATTTTTTATTGCCTCCGTTCCTCCCTGTCACATCGGTAAAACAGGCAGGCGAAACCGAGACATGAGAAAATATTTACCACAATAAAGAGTTAAATCAGAGGAAAAATAAATGAAGAACCAAAATATTACGAATTCTGAGATCACGATGAAGCCCTTATTTTGTGTTTTTATTGCTGGAAAAATTAAAGATTAATATTAAAAGTAATCAAATCTTGTTTTAATATAACATTTTTATATTATATTTTTCCCTGGATTTTTCCCTGGATTATTGAGCATGAGTTTTATTATTTTTAATAGTTTGAGTTCCAAATATATATTAAATTAAGACACTAACCTGCTTCAATTTACCAATAAGGATTTTTTAAAATAAATATATATTTATTGCATTTTAAAAAACTAATGCATCTTGATGTATTTTTTAAACATTCAGTTTTGCATTATTTTTATATTCTGTCTAATCTTTCAACATATGTGCGACAAAGGTCAAAAATACAAAATAAAAAAAGTTACAAAATCTTAAATAAATTTTAAACGAACCCAAGAAACAGGGATTTTATATTTTCTAGAAATACTGGAGATAATTTTGTAAAAAAAATAAAAATAAAAATAAAAAAAACAAAGGTTTTATTTATTTTACCTTTTAAAACAGACATTTGTTTAAAATTAGTATAAAGACTAAAGAAAAAAATGAGGATATGTCAGAACAAGCTCTTCATTTGTTTGACAACTATCTGACCAATGGATCTCAGTGTGTTAAAGTAGGAGGTTTAGCTTCCTCTTCTCTCCATATACTCAATGGTGTTCCTCAGGGGTCAGTGCTGGGGTCGCTTTTGTTTATTATATATATATATATATATATATATATATATATATATATATATATAT